GTTAGCAGAGTTGCAACTGCAGAATTTTCGGGTTTGTCGAGTTCAGTGAGGATGGAAAGTCTGTATAGGAATGTAAAATCCTTCTAGCGAATAAAAGTGTCATTTGTTTTTTCTTATTTGAAAATGTTTGTTTAGCTATCTTCAGGAAAAAGATGGTGAAAAATGTAGTTGTTTAGCTTGTGATTATCTTCAGGTTTGAAATGTGTTCTAAATGAACAATTGTATGAATATTTGTTTTCGGTAAATAATAAATATGCACGATAACATCATCTTTTTTATGAAATTCACGAAAAAGGTTTTCGATCGAAATAGAATTGGAAAAAATGAAATTATAATACTGAATTGAAAATAATGAAATTGGTGAATAACAATTTGAACTGAAAAATTGATGCCTTGGAATCCCAGAAAAGACAAATATTGTCACCGGCATGCAAGAAAGAAATCATAACTAGCATCATCTGAGAATATATCTTCAGCATTACCCATTATGATAAAAATCAACCGAATACATAATAAATTTTTTAATGCAGATGTGATTCTAGATTCTGCAATTGTGTGCAAGGGCAATTTAGGTAAATTCATTTTAAATTAACCATTTTTGACAATATAATTGAAAACTGGCATTTTGTAAAATTAGAAATATATATAAAATTGGAGATCACGTAATTTTTGTTTATATAGGGGCAGGAGAGCAGGAGCCGACCTCACTTTGAGCTGTGGAGCATGAGGGTCCCCCGTAGCCCAAAAAGCATAAGGGGGACCGTAATCCGACAACAGCTCAAAGAGTGAGACAAGAGCAATGAGCGAGTGAGCCTCGGGTGTGGCGCACGAACGGAGGAGTTCGAGTCTTTCTCCTTGAGCTTCTCTTGAGTTCCTTCGGTTCTCAGAGTGATATAAGGAGTCTAACCGAGCCGCAATTCCATAGGAATTGGAGGCTCGTACCGCTCTCCCCTAACTCGCTATTCCCTAGGAATAGAGTAAGGGCCAGTACCGATTCTCTCCGCCCCACCATTCAGTATGAATGGAGTAAGGGGCGGCCCATAGCTGCTCTTCCTCCCCCGAGGGGATTTGGGGGGAAAGCATTTAGGGCTGCTCTTCGAGCCGACCATTCCATAGAATGGAATGGAGTTAGGCTCGTTCCTTCAGAGCCTAATTTTAAATGTTTTAATTTTTAAAATATTTTGAACAGTGGATTCTCAACTGAATATATATTTTTCGTCGCTAAAGTTATGTCAGCAACATTTTTTCATTACGTCGCTAAACCAAGAATTGTCACCAGGTATGCATTCATTTTCATGCTGCAAGAATGCATGTTTTTATGTTTAGGGTTTAAGGGAGATAATAATTTCTTATATGAAGTGAAATCTGTACTTATTACCCGGTTTGTAACGGTTGATATTAAGTCACGGTCAATATTTTTATTAGTTTTCTCAGTCTTCATTTGACAAATTTATAAATGATTTATAAAGGTGAATAATACTCAATTTTATGAAATATATAGATGATAATGAATAATAGTTATGAATACGTAATTGAAATTCATGTTTAATTTGACTGAATTTATATCTTATTCCCAAATTTAAATCCAAACGTTAGTTAATAATAGGATACTTATTAGAAGTCAAAGGTGCTTTAATTATATCTTATTTAAACGGCACTGAAATGAATCAAACTTAACACACACAGCCGAGAAGGTTTTTTGGTTTCCTCCTGGGAAATATTTTCCTAACGTAACGCATGACATTATTATTACACTTTTCTTTTACATTTTTCATACAATAAATACATAATTAAAAATCCTGCTTTAACTTAATTATAACCGTATATATAATCCCTACTAGTCTTCCTAATCTCATTGACACCTTCACCTCCAAAATAAATTCTCTCTTTGATCAACCATGGAAGATGATGAAGATGTTTGTAACACAAGACTTGATTTGGGAATCGGATTAAGTGACTTCGTGCCGAAAAGGGATCGTGAACGGAAGAATAAGAGCGTGTTCTGTCTTGATCTTTCGGTCCCACTTCATTCGAGTGATCATGCAATTGAGGGTTCGGGTTCTGGTTCTGGTTCGAGTAATTTGAAAGTCGATTATGAAGATGACAAAGAAGCAAGCAAAGACACGGTTTCCAACGAGTATGAAGACACAAACTATGGCAGAAAAAAATTGAGGCTTAGTAAAGAACAAATCATCCTGCTTGAAGACACTTTCAAACGCCATACTACCCTTAATATGGTATGCATGCAAGTGTGTCCTGTTTAGCGTAAATTAAAATTAGATTTTTAGTAAATTTTGATAAAAATTGATGAAATAAGTTGTTGAAAAGTAAAATTAATCGATGAATCTGACTCGAGATTTTTATCCACTTGAGAATAATCGATTTTTCCGTTTTGAAATTGCTTGTAAGACAGGTTCAAAAACAGACTCTTTCAGTAAGGTTGAATCTGAAACCAAGACAAGTAGAAGTTTGGTTTCAAAACAGAAGAGCAAGGTACGTAACTTCTTATTATTGATTTAATCCTAATTTCGGTTTTGTTCATGAATTAATTGCAATTTGCTCATAATTAATCTGCAGGATGAAACTGAAGCAAACCGAGATGGACTATGAATTCTTGAAGAAACACTGCGAAAGATTAAACGAAGAAAATAGGAGATTGAATAAAGAGTTGGTGGAGCTACAGTCAGCCGTGAAGGTCGAACAAACACCGCCAAAGCCGCCGTTTGTCATTCAGATACCTAAGACGGCGATTGCGACACTTACAATCTGTCCATCGTGCGAGAAAATTGGCAAGAATAGGGGCGGCGGAAAGGAGGAGGCGGCCGCGGACGTAATGGAGGTGGTCCATATACCTAAACAAAAGCATAATGGCTTGAAATTAATGATTTAAATAGACATTTATAGCTCATCAATAATTTTCTGGATGAAAATTTCAAAGGAGGTCACTTGATTTTACAAATCTATCCTCTGTTGGTGCTCAACTTCAATTTGTTTTAATTCGATTGCTTAACTTTATTCTTTTGTTTTAAATTGGCTATTTCATCAATAATCCTTATTGAATTTGACGAGTCCAACGAAATTCGTTGTTACCCAACTTATCGAGATGGTTTTAGCTAGTGAATGTTTAGATAATAAACATGATTTTAAAAAATTCATAAATTTATGAATCCGAGCGCGTTCTCTACTTCTCTTAATCGAGTAGTCTAAAATTCAATTATTTCAACTCTTTAAAATGTACTTAAACTAGTCATGGTGTCTCTATTGTTTTTATTGAATTTGCTTCGTTAATAAGATCATAATTTGACATTGATCATCTTCTAGTAGTAATTCTAGTGTTGAAAATTTAGATTTTATAAAATTAGAAATTTTAGAAATAGAAAACCTAAATTCCTTTATTGTCAAGATCATCCATGTCAAATCATCAAAAATTAATAATACGGAATATACCCTAATACTTTGGAAATGATTATTTATTACTGAATCTTGATTCCGGACCTTAAATATTGAAACTTGAACTGCAATCTTTTCATCTTTGACTTCTTCACTTTCATACTTGAATTTTGCATATTTTGATTCTTTAATTCTTGTTGTTGGTTTTGCTTATTGATTCATCGTTTCAATTATTGAATCCCTTCTTTTTTATTCTTGATTGTGGGTATTTGATTTTCCTCTTCAATATGTTTTCTCTTGTATTATTGTACTGATAGGATGACACAAATAATAAAAAGTTGAATATGAATTGGGAATCATAACCCTATATATAGTTTTTATATGTATTTTGCCCATCATGA